TATCCATGACAAGAAGAAAACCTTTCAATTATATGAGTTGTGCTCCAAATATTTTTTTGGTGAAAAATTGGTCAGAAGTGTACGAAAAGACCATTTATTTAGTACCACATGAGTCCCATTGGAAGGTTCCAGATGATGAAAAAGCAAACTTTGCCCTGCCTTCACCTTATACATAGAGACCTGGAAGAAAAAAAAGAGAAAAGGGTGGCATCAGTTGGAGGATTTGATACTAAAAAGAAAAAGAGTAAAAGTCAGGGTCATTTGTACTTTTACCTCAGTGGTGATAACCGTACAGTTTAAGTGAAGTAGTTGTAACAGTTTCAGTTATCACTTGTTTTCTATGTTTTATTTTTACTTTAGTCTTGTTTGGAGTCATGTTTGGAACATTGATGTTATGTATCTCTATTTTCGTCGGATCATTTGACAAATAACCTAATGTGATGTGTCTTTGTTTTGGCTCCGTTTGTTTTCGTCGGATCATTGTCCAAATTTCGTGGAAAATATATTTTTTTAGGAAAAAAACATTTTAGGAAATAAACGTTTGTCCTAATTTATGTCCAAACATCGTTAAAAGTTCAAAAGCAATAAGTCTTCCAACAAACATCATATAAAAAACATCATATGCTTGTAAGGGTTGTATTCTAGTGGGATTCATATTTTGTTGTTAATTTCGAGGAAAATGTGTTTTAGGAATTATTTTTATATGAAACCATTGGGGCTGTTAAGATATTAAATATTTTCGAATGCACAACTACAAAAGTGTTTTTAAAGATGTAGTACAACTAATTATACTTAAAATAGAAAAAATACAATTACGAATATTTTGGTACAACTATTAATTGTGGTACAACTATAAGGTACAACTATTGAGAATTATTTATCACTATAACTGACCACATGTTTTATATCAATAAAAACGTGCTTGTTATTATAAAACGTGATAGTTTAATATTTTGAATTATTTAAAATACACCCAAATATTACCATTTTAAATGTTTTGAATGTTTAGAAATTGAATTTTAAATGTTTTAGGTCTTATCTAGGGTTTCCAAATCTTATCTATCCAATTTAAAATAAAAATAAAAAATAAAAATTAGGAAATCCATTCTTTTATGTCCGACAACGACACA